ATCCAGCACCAAAAAAAGACATGAATCTCCTGGTGCGATGGGGTCTGACTGCAAGTGCCCTCCACCAGGGTAACCCTTGTCACCAGTCTCAAGCTGGCAGAGGTCCCCTTGCCCATCAGCTGCCTGATGGTGACCATGGGGCACTGGTGCAGAAAATACAGCATCTGTGCAAAAATAAAGGGACTTCGGGCTCACAGCTCCCTAGGAAAAAAAACGAACAAAACACAGGGATACTGCAAAGCAGAATCCCCAGGGAAATACCTGCAGGGCTCTTCCCCATGGAGGGCATCTCTGGAAGAGCAGGGCTGGGAGTGCTGGTGTCACACAGGCTGGTGCTTTGCTGCCTGCCGAGCTGGTGACTGGGGCAGCAGCTCCACACCCATCCATGACCTGTTAGCAAGCAGCTGAAGAGTTTTATCTGCTCTGTTAGCCATTATCCTAATGAGTTTATTAGCTGCTTCCCACAGGGGAGGAAGGCACTGACTCCTCATGACACTAATTAGCAGCACAGGTAGAACATTTCTGCCATAAACGAGGCTGAGGGACCCCCCCCACCTCTGCTGCCCCCAGCCCTGATCCTTCTGGGGAGCAGCAAGGCAGCAGTTAGGGAGCACCCATGGATAATACCTGCAGGCTGGAGAGTGCTGGGAGGGAGACACAGCACTTGGCTTCTTTATGGCATTCATCTCCCAAACCAGCCCCATTTTGCACCACATCCAGAGCTTGCTGGGGTTTTCCTGGGAGGAATGTTGTGTGCACCTCAGGAAACTTAGGAGCTCAGGCTGTTATATCAAAAGATGCTCTGGTGGGTGCCTTTGTGGCTCTGGCTTTGATGCACCTTGGCACAAGTGCATCCAGGGAGGGCTCCCTGCAGGATCTGCGTAGGAATTGCATCAGGAAGGACTGGCGTTAGCTCCTCCTGGGTACATTCAAAGCATTTATTCTTTCCTTTGGGCCTGTGGAGTTATTTATTGACTGATTTATTACTCGGCCAGGAAAAGGGAAACTCTTGCCTAGGCTGAAAAAAAAAGAGGCAGATTCCAGCTGAGCTCCCAGGCACCACAACCAGCAGGTTTTCCCGCAGGATGCAGGATGGATTCAGAGGCAGCAGCTTGGTGGAGACCAGTAGATGCTGGCTGGGGGTTGTGTGGTGCCCCTGCCCATCCCTAAGGGGTGGGGTGTCATCCTGCCCCATTCCCATCCGTGGTGCTGTGTCAGCTCTGCCCCAGCCATGCTGTGTTGGAGATGCTCATGCAGCATTTTGGGTGGAATAATCTACACATGCTTGGGAAGAGAAAACAGTACCAGAGGATTGAAAATAACCAGTTTTATGGAGGGACTTTGTTATGCTCAGGAAAAGAGCTGTGTTTATCTTTCCAGTGCAGCTCTGGGGTTATCGGGGAGCCTGTGACGGGGGCTCTATCAGCAGTAAAAAGCAACTTTTTTCCTACACAGAATAAATACAGAAGCTTCCTTTCCCCTTGATAAGGGACTGGTGATGACATGTCCCTCTGGGCAGTGGGATCCCAACCCCAGCAGCCCCCATTCCTTCCCAGTGCAATGAGCTCCAGCAATCACTGTTCCCAGTGTCCGGCCCCTCTCCTCCACTCCCACTGGCCAGGCTGGGAGATGCATCCCCCCCAGCCACCCTTCAGCCCTTTGGCCCATTTCCGTGCTGTGGGTCAGGAACGGGGCTCCTGGGGGGAGCCAAGGCCTCCTGCAGACACATTTGGGGTGGCATTTGTCATGGATTAGGCTGCTTGTTGCACCCCCTGGATTTCACATCCTCAGGACACAGGTGTCCCGTGCTGTCCTGCTGGCTGTGATGGGGACTGGAGTGGGGCTGGTGGCCTTTTTAAGAAGGAAGCAGGGCACTGGACTTCTGGGGGTGGCTTGGCCAGGCCTTGCCCTAATCCCAAGGCACATAAACAGCAGGGGCTATTTTCTCCTTCTCCCACCCTCCCTCCCAATCTCCATCTCTTTCATTTTCCCAGCAAAGGAGAGCTCGATTTAAGGCAAACAAACAAAAAAAGGTCTTCCAGAACCAGCAGCCCATTCCTCACCAAATAAGGCAGATTACTTTTTTTTTTTCTTTCAATTTTTATTTATTTATTTTCTTCTCTTTGGCTCTGAGTTAGTGACTGTCCCTTTAAGCAGCTCTGGGCACTTGACTCTCCACTCTGCCGTCCCCAAATCCCGCTGTCTGTCCCCAAATCTCGCCGGCCAGAGCCTGATTGGCCGAGCCTGTGAGTGGG